GATAGTATTATCCGATTTTAGAAGACAAAAAAAGGTGGCCTTAAGATAGTCAATAGAACAAAACACTTAATTCACTAATATATTAATAAAATTATAATAACTAAATAAATGTAAGTCTTAACGAAATTGTTATGTTTATAAATAAAAAGAACATTATATAGTATTTGATTTAATAAAATCGATAACTTAATTTATTAATATATTAATAAAATTATAGTAACCAAATAAAATTAAATTTTAATAAATTTATTATATTTATAAATAAAAAGAACATATAAAATAAAAAACTTAACCTACTAATATATTTGTAGAGTTGTAATGACCAAATAAAACTAAGTTTCAGTAAATGTATTATATTTATAAACGAAAAAGAATATTATATAACAACTAAATTTGTTTAGTTGAATTAATTATAATTGGTTAAAAAGTGGATATAATTTGTTTTTTTTTTTTTAAATAACAAAACTTTGAATACCTTTTAAGTATTATGGTAAAGTATGAATAACTCATATATGATGTAAGATCATTTCTAAATATTATTTTGTCAGCTATGATTGTACTTTTGTACATTTTATTACTGATGTCAATTTTATATTTTGTTATAATTTGATATATTATTATTATTATTTATTATCAAATTTACATAATATTTTATGATTGTAAAAAGCAGCTCAACTACCAAAAAAAATCAAACAACTTGCAAAAAAAAAAAAAAAAAAGTAGGCCCACTCTAAGAAAATTGTACTCTTAATTTAAGTGTATGAATAAATCTTTATTTACTAACAAGTAAATTCCATGAATTAATTTATTTTTTATAAAGATTATTTAAAAGATTAGATTAAAATACATAGGTTAATGAAGTCATCAAAAAAAAAAAAAGGAAAAGGAGATTGTCATCAAAACAATATTTGCTTGAGTGGATTGTCAACATGTCGTCTTCATAAGTATATTAATATGATCAAAGTTTGAGATAAGATGAAAAAGAAAAAAGAAAAAAAAAAAAAGAACCCAAAAAAAAAATATATATTTCATTTAAAAGCAGTAAAGTGATAATAGTTGTATTTTCTTTTGTTTTTTTATCACATGGTAATTATAAATAATTTAATTATATTTTTTATTTAAATTTTGGTATATTGTTTATTTTTGTAATTAGATTAGACATAGTATTAGTGTGACATGCCATATAATATTAATATTATATTTAATAATATTATTTAAAATACCTAAAAATTTAGACGTTTAATTATTTGAGATAAAATTCAATTGTAGGTGTTGCACGAGGTCAGGCCGATTGAATTAATTACTCTTTCTTTTGTGGAACCACTAACTATTACCCACAATAAAGTTTTCTTTTTTTTTTCTCTCTCTCTCTCTCTCTCTCTTTTTCTTTACAGAAATAATTTTCACTTTTTCCTTTTTTTTTTCTTCTTACATTTTGATTATTCAAAACTCTAAAATGATAAACGGTGCGTACTAACACGATCATTTTTAAAATAAAATCACCAATTTCCTGCATTAATTATCAAACATAAGAAACAATTCTTTTTTGAAAAAAAAAAAAATCAATGGATCAACCATCATCTATTTTAGTGGTTAATTTTCACTTATGCTAATGTTACAATATTTATCACTTATAAAATTTACCGTTGTAAATTAACTTTGATGTCGGAGAGACTTCAGGCAGGAAGTGTACGTGGGAGGATCCGAGGTTTGGGGATTAAATATACATGTATATTGTCAGGTATAACTAGGCCTTATATGCGTGTGTGTGTGTATATATATACACACACGCATATATATATATATATATATATCTCTCTATGGATCGTAAGACAAACAGAATTTATAATTTCACATGCTCTTAGGCATTTTAAGGGCTTTTTTTTTTTTTTTTTTCTTGCTATCCAAAAGCCAGACTGGTGATTACTAGGTGGGGGTTTGTTTGGAGTTATTTTAGTTCTACTTCAACATTTTCTTATAAAATTATTGTTTATCCTTTAAAAAATTCACGATATTTTAATTAAATTAAAAATAAGATATTAAATTAATTTCACAAACAAACGCCATTTGTTCTAACATAAACTTGTACTGTACCCTCAACAAATTTTTCCATAAACACTCATTTTACTCCATCCCTCCCACCAAAAGAAAAAATGACGGAGAAACTGGTCAGTGCACATTATGATAATATATATAATTATATAGAGGAACTTTAAGCTAAATTTAAAGAATTTATTTTTTATTTTAAGTTTTAAAATTAAGTTCTTCATAATTCTTTTTAATTGATGGGTACTTTTTCTCAGTTGGCCGTTACTTTTCTTTTCGGCATGTCAAGAATTCAAAAACCAAAAGGAAATGTAGATATATGATAAAACTAGTGGAAGGCTAACATGCTCGTAGACAAAGATTTCTACGGTTATATATATATATATATATATAGAGAGAGAGAGAGAGAGAGAGAGAGAGAGAGAGAGAGAGGGAAGTGACTCAATGCTACTAATAATTAATCAACTTTTATATACGTGTCGTTGTACTTGTGTTGTCATTTTGCAAGCCAAGGTGAATCTAAACAAAGCAAACCTTAGCCTTTTGTTTTATGTAGAAACAACCCCTAGGCCATCTTTAAGAGCCAAGGCGCTGTTGGGCTTCATGTGCCTGACGTCTAGGGCGTTGAGATTCCCTCCCTTTGAGTTTTTTTTTTAATATTTGAGTATCAGTAACTACCCCTTTTACGGTCACCAACTGCCTCACCTCTTTTGTTTCTTTCCTACTAATCCGCCTCAGCATCCTCACGAGTATCCAATACTAACAATTTATATAAATTTATTATTCAATTTACGGAAACGTTAAAATGTTGTCAATGGAAAAAAGCAAGCTAGTAAACACCAACATTTTTAATATAAGAGAGTTGATATCATTCAGACAGACGCATCACCCTGTATATATGTATTCACTTTGTAAGCAAATTATATTCTACCCTTACTTGGATACAAGGATCATTTATTTACTTGTTATTTATGGATAACAGGTATAAATATTTATCTCAAGCGAAGAAAATAAAGATTGTGAAAATCTTACCTTGAGTTTGAACTTTAGAATAATAGTTTGCAGAGTTACTAACCTGTTTAAAAAGAAGTCTCTTAAAAAAATCATAATATAATATTTAAAAACACTAATAGTTACCCACTAAGTTGAGTTCGACCTTGCAATAACACTACCCAATGAATTAACAAAGTAACTTCCAGTTTGTTAAATTTCCAAGTAAATAATTAAGCAGCTAATATGAACCTGAAGAGCCAAGAATTATATATATGCTGCGACTGCTCAAAATTTGTTAATAAGTAGTAGAACACGAATCACCCAAAAAGTAAAAAGACTAATAAAATGGGGAAATAAAAAAGGAACAAAAAAGCTAAAAGCTAGAAAAGATGCATATGCGTACGTAAAGCTAAATCCAGTATGAAGCACTAGCAGTTTCCACTTTAAAGCGACAAAGAAAAAAGAATCTCAGCATGATAATCCAGGAAGTAGAAAGCCAAGTAAAATACGAAGACCAAAGAAAGATCTAAAAGAACTGTAAAATACTGGAGACAATAAATTGATCATATTGATTAAGCTTTACATTTACAGTTTAAATAATATACAGTATCTCCAACAAACAGCTTCTGACACTAAACCCATCAAAAAATGTGGATGGGGAGAAACTAGAGAAAGCATGTGCACCTTTGGGTAAAGGCTAGTCCTTCTGTGTTCTGCTTTCCTCTGGCAATGGCGTAACCCTTTTCTGGTTTGCTCATCTAAGAGATTTACATGTTCACCGGAGGACTTCCCTGTTTTCCAATCAAATAATTAGTACTCTCATGTGATTGTAACTTTAAATGGATGATCGATTGTCAAACCACTGTTCTCTTTTCCATGACAAAGATTTTGGAAATTTGATTCTTCTATTGCTTATATCACTAATACGGAAGAGGAGTTTTTCATCACTATTACTGAAACTAGCAGGCAAAACCTAATGCCGAAGGCAAGGAATCATAGGCAAGTTACACATACTATGCAAAATTAACAACAATCAGAAAGCAGCAATTTTGGCATAGAGTACAGATTAACATTTGGAATATATAAAATATTTGTTTGTTCATACATGCATAGAGACATATATAAATACATGTATAAGTACATATTACCTTAAACAGAAGGTCATATGCAATGTGTTCCCATGGCAATGATATGGACATCAAGCAGCACTTTAGGGGCAACATCTCATCATCAGATGTAGAAGCAGCAGCTGCAGCATATGCATGCTTTGCCGCAACGGATGCAACGTTTGCAGCTTTACGAAAAATTGAGCCAAGCCCAAGTCCTTTCTTTGTTACCACAGGTGAAAAGGGCCCGGAATCCAGCTGGCTTTGATCTGATATAGGAACCATTCACTTAAAAAAATTAGATAAATGAAAAATATCATCTATTTCAGAAAACCAATCAGAAGTTGCTCGTGCAAAGAATCATAATCAATTAATGCGTTCCTTGACGCAGAGCCATAATTAGATCAATTGCAATCAAGAATAATCAAAATTGAAACAGAATCATAGACTCTGATATT